GGTGGCTGCTGCTGCTGCTTGCTGCTGTAAGCGTCCGTTCGCTTTGTCGTCTGACTGCTGAGTGAGCCACGTAATGTGGCACTGTACCTTATGTAGGTGGCTGCTGCTGTGCTTGCTGCGGTGCTTGCTGCTGTTTGCGTCCGTCCGTTTTGTCGTCCGACTGCTGAGTGAGCCACGGAATGTGGCACTGCACCTTATGTAGGTGGCTGCTGCTGTGCTTGCTGCTGCGATGCTTGCTGCTGTTTGCGTCCGTCCGCTTTGTCGTCCGACTGCTGAGTGAGCCACGTAATGTGGCACTGTACCTTATGTAGGTGCTTGCTGCTGTTTGAGTCCGTCCGTTTTGTCGTCCGACTGCTGAGTGAGCCACGGAATGTGGCACTGTACCTTATGTAGGTGGCTGCTGCTGTGCTTGCTGCGGTGCTTGCTGCTGTTTGCGTCCGTCCGTTTTGTCGTCCGACTGCTGAGTGAGCCACGGAATGTGGCACTGCACCTTATGTAGGTGGCTGCTGCTGTGCTTGCTGCTGCGATGCTTGCTGCTGTTTGCGTCCGTCCGCTTTGTCGTCCGACTGCTGAGTCAGCCACGGAATGTGGCTCTGCACCTTATGTAAGTGGCTGCTGTTGTGCTTGCTGCTGTAAGCGTCCGTTCGCTTTGTCGTCTGACTGCTGAGTGAGCCACGTAATGTGGCACTGTACCTTATGTAGGTGGCTGCTGCTGTGCTTGCTGCTGCGATGCTTGCTGCTGTTTGCGTCCGTCCGCTTTGTCGTCAGTCAATCGAATGAGCAACGGAATATGGCACAGTTACTTTTATACCATACACGCTGCTGCTGTTTTGTTTTGCCATTCGCCAGTTTAGATAATTTTTACTACATCGAGATTTTAAACGTCCAAATGAAGCTAAAATCCCCTTTTTTTCAGCGAGGTGGAATTCAAGGGATACGAAATCTTTCAAGTCTCAAAACAATTTTTATTTCAGGAGATATTTATTTATTTGTCTCTTTCACTTTTATTCTCTACACTGATCATTACAAAACGTATCGCATGACAAATGTAATGCTCACTGCGTATATATGATCATTTGTTCGATTATATTTTATATTTAATTGCAATACCTTTCGTGGACCTTTCATAGCATCGTAATGCTTGTTTACTTTGCACGATAGGTAGCCGGTTTGACAGTTCAATAGGTAGACTTGGCTTCACTCTTGGCGTGACTCATTATACACCGACTCTAGTGTAAAATATATTGAATTGGTTCCGCTTTTTGATAGATCGAAATTCTATCCGCCAGACTATGAATATAGCGACTATACCTATGATGTGCTTTTTCTTCGTTCTGCATAATAACCTTGTAAAACAAAACAAAAATCCTCCGCAGCTGGCACAATATTGTTGTCGTTCAGAGGATTTTTGTCCATTCAGTTCGCCGATCGCATTCCGCACCGTACCGTCGTATTGGACGATCTTACAGGCATTTGACCAACCGTTGCTGGAGAAAACCCATTTTGGCCATCTTGACCGACCATGGTGTGGAAGCACGCTGTTGGCGTGAAGCTATTCTGGACGAAACAACGAGTCGCTAGGATTCTCGCTACGAATCAGGTGCAGACAATACTCGCAGCATTTTTCCTTGGAATCCGAACCCAATGTGAAGCCCAATGGTGTAAACAAAGAAGTCAGCCTTAGCAACTATTGGAAAAAACGTCAACCCTCGACAGTGATGCCGTTTTATATTATGTCGATTGTATCCTACTTGTCAAAGTTTGTCCTAAAGAGCCGAATAGTGTACCATGCTGTGTTTCGGCATTTGGATTTTTCAGGTTGCGTCGTTGGTGGTCAGACAGAACTTAACAATAAATTGTAGCTGCAGACCAGCTTAAAGATTGTACACGAAAAAAATGCTACACTTTCTTTTGTGTACATCTTATTATTGCATTGGTAAAAATGGATGATATTTTGAGTAAAACTAGTCTAGGGTGTAATGTTTACATGTGAAAAATCTCGTCACAATCTGTCAAGTGGTTATCGAGATGGCTTCTGGCCGGCGCCGGTGGTGTAGTGGTAAGCATGACTGCTTTCTCACCCCAATGGGTCTGGGTTCAATCCCAGCTGAGGTCGGTGAGATTTTTCTGAGGCTTAAAATCTCGGGTCACGTCTTCCTTCGGAAAGGAAGTAAAGCCGTTGGTCACGGCCCATGCGTGTTGAATGGGTGCGATATCCTACGCAGGTGTGGAAGCTGCCTTCCTGCACATTCGATTGCCGTCAATGGATGGCAATCGATGTCCGTCGGTGATTGGCATTAGATTGCGGAACAGAGATCGACGTTAAATAAAGGAAAGAAGAAAAAAAGAAGACGAATAATAAGAAGAGATGGCTTCCAAGCAAGAAGTGCTTCGACAAAAAATTATGGGAGCGGACATGGACAATCCAGGCCAGTCTCACAGGTGGATCGCGAAACAGTTTGGAATCGACAATTCGACCCAGCGGCGAGCTGGCAGCGGAAGAAAAGTGAAGACGACCGACCCCATGAACGCAAGGAAGGTGACGGATTAATTCAAGCGCAATCCGAACCTTTTGATTCGGGACGTGGCCAAGAAGGTCAATTCTTCCGTCTGGTTCATCCAGCAGACATTGAAGAGGGCCGGACTTCATGTTTTCAAGGTAAGGTAACCAATCCGATATACAGAATACGGTGGCCAAATCCTGCGCCAAGAAGCTTTACCGCGAGTGGTTGGTGCAGCTGAAATGCATCGTAATGGACGACGAGACGTACATTGAAGCAGACGCCAAGCAGATCCCCGGCCGGGAGTTTTTCGTCAGCAAATCCCGCCTGGATGTTCCGGAAAAGTTCCAGAAGAGGAAGGTCGACAAATTTGTCAAGAAGTACTTAGTGTGGCAGGCAATCTGTGGGTGCGGCAAATTCAGCAAGTTGTACATAACGACCGGTACCATCAACGGCCAAATATATAAAGAAGAATGCCTCCAGAAGCGCCTGCTGTCCTTCTTTCGGTCCCACGAAGGTGAAACTCTGTTTTGGCCGGATCTGCCTTCGTGCCATTACGCGAAACCGGTGATTGAGTGGTACGAAGCCAACGATGTTGTTTTTGTGCCGAAGGAGGCAAATCCGCCAAACCCGCCAGAACTTCGCCCAATAGAAAAGTTCTGGGAGACTATGAAGGGCAAGCTCCGGAAAACAGGAAAGGCCTTCAAAAACGACAAGGATTTGAAGAAAGAGTAGATGAAAGTGTGTAAGAAAGATGGTGCAAGTGTTGCACAGGATTTGATGGGTAGCGTTAAGTCCAAGGTGTGGGCATTTAGCCTAGGAGAGGAGGATGAATAAACAAACTTTGCTGAAGACATAGCTAATAGGTGTTTATTTATTCCCTAAGAGTTTCAAAAATTTCCGACTTAAAATTAATTTTTGCCTGTTGCATTTTTTCGAGGACAGTCTTTATACAGCCAGCAATAAATAGCCTTATGTAGTTATTTTCTGCCTGTATAAGCTGGTGTACAGCTCAAATTGTTTTTTGGGAAGAGCGGTCCCAAGTAACAATTTTGGTTTTATGAGGGTTCTGTAGACAATGATTTAGAATTGTAGCATGCTTTAAAACCACTATAAAACTTGCAATGTTACTTGGGGTGCATGATCACGACTATGCGGCAATTTGAGGAAATCCCTCGGGAAATCCTGCTTTGAACCGCAATACAGTTCGGCCGGCTTATTAGATGAGCGATATTTGTAATGCATTAGGTTATATGCTCGATTCTGATCGGAAAATATGGTTGTGGGTTCAAAACCAAGTTCCTTCACAATAAGGAATTACGGGGGTCACATTGATTTCTTGTTGTTTTTCTTCTTATTTTTTCCCTTGATTTATTTTCTGACGATCTTGTTTTCTTTACCAATGCTACCGATGCCAGCTCCAGCTTACACCCATCATCTCTTGGATCAGGGACCAACGACCTTTTTTCCCTTTCGAAAGAAGGCGTGATCAGAGATTTTATGTCTCAGAAAATCTCGACGGCACCGACTGGAATTGAACCCAGGCCATTTAAATTGGGAGCAGAGCTGGTTATTGAGATTAAGAAAAGTATGTGTTAGTATATGTTCGCATATGTAATTTACACTTGTTTGACGAAATAAATAAACCTAGTATCTGGAAGCCCCTATGAAACACAAAACTCAATCCAACATGCCGCTGCGCTGTCCCGACAACGAGCGGAAATCGGGAATGCTCTCACAGCTGTCCGGAATCAGGACTATTTTGGAGCGAGCATATCTTTCTCCCCTGATACGGACGGGCTGCGGAGTTTGTAGTCAAAGGAAATACGAACGAAAGAAAAAAAAAAAGAAAAACATTTACGTGAATGGGAAACTGTGCCACCGGGCGCCCGGAGGATTCAGTTGGCACTCAGCTGTGGAGCTCTTCGGTTCAAGGCAACACACAATTGCGGGAAAACGCTTTCCATCTCGGATACCTACTTGTTTTTGCACTGTCGCCTGCCTGTTGATGTGGTGTGGAAAGTCAAGAGATTCGAATTGACTGAGGATTCTCAATCGGGGAGACTTGTGGCGTGCGTGTCTGGAGCGGGGGGGGGGAAGTTGTTGGTCGTTCACCCTCTTTCCTCAAAACTGGGACGTGGGCACGACGCGCCATTCATTCTGATTCATTTTGTCACGGTGTTGATTACAGTTTCGATTGGTAATAATGGGACGATTAGCGGCAGTGGATGTCAGTGCAGAAACGAGATACAATCAGTCGGTTCAGTGAACAATTTCGTTAACGATTAGAAACAACACCTCGGGGGATGATTTGCGTGCCGTAAAAATTTGGAAAGCCATTAGGAACGTATCAATCTGCCATCGGTGGTTGGCGGGGGAGTTTTTTTTTTCTGGTGATGTGTACGATGATTGACGACCAGGAAGGGGTGGTTTCTGTGGTGGGTTAATTAATTTTTATGATATTCGTGCTGCGCGTTTCTTTTTTTTGGTGAGAAGGTCGGTGTCCGGTGAAAGTGCAAAACCAGTCGAAAGGGAGTGAGTAAATTTTAGGGAGTTGATGGGAAATTTGTTAGGTAAATAGATTATTGATTACCGATTGGAGTGACAGCCGGTAGTGAAAGTTGGCTGATAGTTTACTGGCCTCACTCTTGGAGGAAATTTTAACCGAGGTCATCAGAGTCTGTCTTCGCTTAGCAAATATTGTATCAGAGTGTGTGGGTGAAAATCGGCTGAATGGATTTCACAGGCAATAAAAGAAGTGGAAAAAGATAAGGTGCTACTACAGCTTAAGAGGATTAATCTGTTGGGTGTAAGCGGGAAAGTTTTACAGGTAAGTGTTTTTCTGTTGACAAAAAAAAAGTTGTTATTTTAGGGACTGAACAGCTTGAGTACTTAAGACGGATACAATCACGAATAGATGCACACGAGGGATTATTGTTTCGTCGTTTTAAGAAGTTAATATTTTCAAGGAATTATCTTAAGACGATTAAAACCCGCAAGAAAATTCATTATATCAACGTTTGTCTTACCTTATTTTTCAATTCGGATTAAAAAGGTTTCAAAGAACGGATTCGTTGATATAAACCCAGCTTTTTTTCAGATGATTTCGGTTTCCAGAGATTTTTGCCCCAGAGATTTTTGCAATTTCGGGAGTTGACACAGCATCCGGGACTCCGAGGCGCAGTTTTTGAGATAAGATATTTTCTGGAGGTACATATGTGTGGAAGTTTCTAGAGGTCCCAATTTTTCCGGAATTCTAAAAATTTCAGAGTTATGACAGTGCGTCAAGTTTCTACAGCCTTTATTATGTTGCGGATGTTTTGATAGTTCTCAGAGGACCAGGGTTTCCAAGAGGGCTAATGGTTGCTAAACCCAACAAACATTGGTAGCAGAATAAGAGCCTATTCATGCAAAAATATGCTTCTTCAGCTAAAAAATTGCCTATTCAGCTTTTATTCCGCTCAAATTGTTTGCTGGGAAGTTCCTGTCACGGAGACGGTGAAGTAGTTAGGAACTCTTGAAGACAAACAAGCAAGTATCAATTTATGTTTGTTTGTTGCAAGGTACACCGAGGAAAATTGAAACGGTTGGTAGATATATATTAGCGAGAGTGAATACATAATCACTTTGATTAATTCTAATCTAGTAGATTGCGCTAGTGCACAGTGTAACTTAAAAATAATCACAGTGAATGTTCACTTCCACTGATAGATATGCTATCCGTTTCAACATTCTCGCGTGATTCAACTTGCCCCAGTGTTTCTTATCTTTGTATCTGGTTCTAATTAGAGAGGGTCTAGTATAAGAGAGGAGCGGATTCAAAACAATCTGCCTTGGAAATCTAGGCCTATGTGGTTTCTAGCAACACTGCCAGTGCAGTCAAGATGCTCGAATAGCTCTGGCTTTGGTAGTTCGTTTGGCTCATCTCTTTTAATAGACCCTCTTTAGTTCTGTTACGTCCTGTACGTCCTGTGATATGATAGAAATAAAATAAAACAATAAATTTAATTTTGCTTGAAGTCAGAAAAGTGTTTTGGCAGCACTGCACAGTTGTCCATAATATCCATCACGTCTGAGACAAAGTTGTAGAAAAAAATCAAGTCTCTCTGAAAAATATATACATGGTTTTTTTTTTGTAATTTTGAGTAAAAATTAAAAAAAAAAATGTTAAGAACTAAAATTTAAAAAAAAAGTAGGGGAAATGTTGACTTCGGCAATACCTTAACCTATTATCGTCAGGGGGTAAACAAAGTCCTAGAGCACTTAAATTTGGTCGATAGATGCTTTGAAACACAATGTATCAACATGCCAAAATTGAGCTCTCAAGGACGTTGTTTACCCCCTGACGATAATAGGTTAAGGTATTGCCGAAGCCAACATTTCCCCTATGTCTTTATTTTTTAATTTTTTTCATAAAAGCCCGGAAAATTTAAAATTTTAAAAACATTTGAAACCATGGGCACTTGGACATTTATAGAAAATCGTTTAACAAGAACTTTTGGCACAAAACTTGAACTTTTTGTTAGTACGCTTTAGTTAACAATAAGTTTAAAATAAGTTAATGTTCCGTGATATTTTTTCAGTTATCAATTGTCTACGATTTTAATTGCTCCTAAATATTGCATTTTTCTCGAGCTTTATTTAAAAACTAAATTTTAAATATTGAAGATTCGCTTTAAAATATATTTTAGTTTCAATATCTATTTAAAATTTTTCTCCAAATTACTTTAAAAAAATTAACGTGTTTATTTTTCCTGGAATAACTTAAAGTTTATAAACAACTTTTTTTCAGACGTCATTTCGATCAGAAGTGACGTTTTCATGCTATAATTTATTGAAAATACCAAAAATGCCAGTTCGAAAAAAATTACAAGATCAGAATTTTTGCAATAATATGAATGATTGTCCATAGCACATAATTATACAATGTTTCATGCAACTCGGAGAAGTTCAATTCTTCAAATTTCATGTTTATTCTATTTAGCCTGGAACTGGTCACCTCCTTTTACGTAGTCTTTTGCTACGAATCCCAAATAACGAGGTTTTGACGTAGGACTACGTCTGTGATTTCTATATGATTTCTATGTAACAAAATAAAGAAAGATTTTGAACGCTAATAACTCAGTAGAGCCTGGACCAATTTCAATGATTTTATCACCAATCGATCAGATATATTCTACGCATATTTTTTGAAAATTGCAGGAATGTGCAACTGTTGCTTTGATAATTAAAATTATCACCGATTGCCTGCAAAAAGCGATTTCCCGAACACAATTTCAAAGTTGAATTTCATCCAGTCTCACCAAACGGTGTTTATTCAATTACCGCGTGGTCCGTGGTGGTGTTCTCCAGTACACAACGAAAGGCTCCCCGCAAGTAGCTAGCTACAAAGGCTGGACTCAACTACTGATCGGATTCAGTTCCAATTACCGTGTGTGGTGGTGTCCGGTCGTCGACATCATCAGCAGCAGCAGCAGTGCTTTCGGCGCATGGTGTTGAACATTGTTCTCCAGTACACAACGGAAGGCTGCCTGCAAGCAATGAGCAGCAGCCCACATGAGCATCCATAGAAGGAGGAAGAAGCAGCACCGCTATTGATCGGTATCAGTAGCTCTTCGTGAGTCGCTGTGGGCCATCTATGCAAAGCGCGTCACCCTTATTCCAAACAACATACAGCTCACGAGCCTCATCTGTTTTTAACACTCTAATAGCTCAGCATTACTCAACCATCACGACAAAACGGTCCTTTTCAGGATCATCATAAATTTGTAAAAGAGTATTTTTTTTTTGATATTTGTCAAGATCATCAATGGGATGTCAGTTCCCATATCAAGATAGAGCTGAAATAAGGGTATAACAGCTTTTGTAAACAATGATGACTTCTTTAGATGATGCATTGAAAGTCAAGGCTCGCTCACGCAAATCAACATCACCATCAGGAAATGTTGGTTTGCGTAAGCGTGCCTTGAATTCATAAAAATCATCGAGAGAAGTCATTATACAAAAGCTGTTACGCCCTAGTTCCAGCTCTATCTAGATATGTTTAAATCTAACATACCCTTTTCCAACATTGAGGGTGCGATTTCAAAAACCAAAGTCGGTCGTGGCATGCAAGTGGTCTGATTTTGATTCAAAGATGATCGCCAATCGATTTTCTACGAATCTGTTAAAATTAAGACTTTATCATTTTTCAAAATGTAAATATTGACAATTGCACGGATGTGCAACTGTTGCTCTGATAATTAAAATTATAACCGATTGCCTGCGAAAAGCGATTTCCCTAACACAGATTTCAAAGTAGAATTCCATCCGGTCTCACCAAACGGTGTTTATTCAATTACCACTTGGTGAGAGGTAGTGTTCTCCAGTACACAACGAAAGGCTACCTGCAAGCAGCGAGGCGGAAGAAGCCGCACCGCTATTGATCGGAATCAGTAGCTTTCGAGAGTTACTGTGTGCCATCTATGTCAAGCGCTTCATACTAAAGAGTATAAACAGAGAGAACTCCGCTCAAATCCCTATTCCTACACAAAACTTGGAATGGGCGTTTTGAAAACAATCAATGTTTCCGAATCGGTTCTAAAACTGAATATAAAATTGATCCTCGAAAATATCGAAAGAAAAAAAAAATCGATTTGAGGAAAATCTTTTTTTTATATTTGAATTACGCTTTATAATCTACTATTAGACGAAATTTTCCTCTTGCTGTTATTTTAGTGAATGTGTGTGAGCATTACTTTTTATTAAACCAGTTCACAAAACAATTGACACCGAATTATTAAGAAATATTGCGAATATTTAGATTATACAATAGACTGATGCAAAATTGAAAATTTTCGCTCCACAGTGCTCAAACGGTTCCAAATTGGGCCCTGATTAGCCTCTCAAAATTTAAACTCATTTAGTGAGAAACTGACTTAGCACAAACCATTTGAAGTTTATATGGATTATTACTATAGAGAAACCATAATTTCGATTCATATCTATCTCAAAATTCACCAGTTCACTCTACTTTAGAAAATGATAGCTGAGCTTGTTGAAAATTTTCAAAGCTACAACTTTGTTCAAGACCACTTTTCGATCAAATGTAAGGAACAAAAATTATTAATGATTCAAGTCACTGTCTTATGATTATGCTCAATCAACTGTTCAGCAGGCAACATTGGTGTTTATGGCGCGTTGAATAGAGGAAAAAAACATGGCTTCTATGCCACACTGCAGAATACAGTGTTGCCCAAAATACAGTTGCTTAATCTTGCCATAAGATTGTTAATCTCTTAAACAATTAATAACTATTTAATTTGATGTTTGGCTGAAAAACGATCTTGTGCAAAGTTGTAGCAGATAAAAATTCCCATAAGAATAACAATAGAATTTGTTAACAGTACAATATGTAAAAAGACCAAAAGACAATGAACAAAAAGTTTTGTTTTCCCATAGTAATTTCCATATAAACTTCAAATGGATTGTGCCAAGTCAGTTTCTTATCAAATGAGTTTAAACTTTCGGAGGCTAATCAGGACTCGATATGAAACCGTTTGAACATTGTGGAGCGAAAATTTCAAATTTTGCATCAGTCTATTATACAACCTTAACTCTAACCTTACTTTCAAAATCTTCTGCAGGTATTAAAATTCACCTACTCAATGTTTTTTTTGCATCAAGGAGTGCGTGTTTTTTTTTGCAGACAAAACCAGCTGGATGAATTAGGAAGAATGGGTCCAAAGTACACATAACGTAAAAATAAACAAATAAATACAGCCCAAGATTGAAGCGATGTTTAGCAAAATTTGAGGACGATGAAATTAAAATCGATTTAGTTTAAATAAA